TAAAAATTGACTATCTATTTAGGACACAAAGAAAATCAAAACAAATTCCAAAAAGCAGAACATAACAGACCTATTTTCTGAATAAAATAAATAACAAAATTTGAAATTAACCACAAAAGTATAGCCAAAAACTTACCTTTCTTAAAGTACACTTTTAAATTACTCTTGGATTAAAGAGGAAATTAAAACTGAAACTACAAGCTAACGAGAAATGGATAAAAACTAGAGCAATATTTTTGGGATGTGTTCGAAGTGGTCCTCAGAGAAAAATTTATAGCTTTAAATACCTCCTTACAGGGCAAAAGCGATAATTCGGCACATGTGTGTGGTGATGGGTTGTAATTAGTATTTGGGTGGTGAACATGATGTAATCTATGCAGAAATAGAAGTATAATGATGTACACCTGAAATTTATACAATGTTATAAACCAATGTTACTGCAATAAACAAAAAATTTTTTTTAAAAATTAATAAATAAAAAATAAAAATAAATACCTCCTCACGGGGCTGGCCCCATGGTGTAGCGGTTAAGTGCGCGTGCTCTGCTGCTGGCAGCCTGGGTTCGGATCCCGGGCTGCACCGCTGGTCAGGCCATGCTGTGGTGGCGTCCCATATAAAGTGGAGGAAGATGGGCATGGATGTTAGCCCAGGGCCAGTCTTCCTCACAAAAAGAGGAGGATTGGCATGGATGTTAGCTCAGGGCTAATCTTCCTCACAAAAAAAAAAATAAATAAATAATAAAATAAATACCTCTTTAGGACACAAGAAAGACTTAAATAAAGGATAACATGAAAAATAAAATGAAACAAAAACTAGAGGTCAATTCTATCTGTGAAAATAAAGGCCAAAATCCCAAATAAAAGACTAGCAAAATGAATCCAGAGGTTTATCAAAGGAGCAAAACACCATGAGCAAGAAAGGCACATCCTAAGCCAGCCTTGATGGCCTAGCGGTTAAAGTTCGGCATGCTCCACTTCAGGTGGCCCAGGTTCGGTTCCCGGGCACGGAACCACGCCACTCATCTGTCAGTCACCATGCCGTGGCTCACATAGAAGAATTAGCAGGACTTGCAACTACAATATACAACTATGTACTGGGGCTTTGAGGAGGGAAAAAAAGAGAGAGGAAGATTGGCAACAGATGTTAGTTCAGGGCGACTCTTTACCAGCAAAAAAAAA